ATTACTTTACACTAAACTCTAGATATATAACAAAACACTTAATAATTGCTCCTTGGGAAGACTGTTGGTTTTGTCGTCCCTCGGGACCAGTAATTAAGAGCAGTTTGCTGTAAGGATCGACTAAGATCATGCAAGATAGAAAAAAAACCGATTTTCCCAAACTTTGCCAGAATAAAGGCCTAGGTGAACTAGTTCTAAAAATAAAATAAAAAATTCAGGTCGTTTAGACTTTTATTTACTTTTTGCAAATGTTTTTTGTATTTTGTGCAAGAGGCGGCCTAAATTGATGCCGAAATCGGGCATTTTTCGGAAGCACCCGCTTCGCGACAGAGCTCACCTAAAGCGCTTTCACTTTTTAAACGGGAGCTTCCGAAAAATGCCCGATTTCGGCATCAATTTAGGCCGCCTCTTGCACAAAATACAAAAAACATTTGCAAAAAGTAAATAAAAGTCTAAACGACCTGAATTTTTTATTTTATTTTTAGAACTAGTTCACCTAGGCCTTTATTCTGGCAAAGTTTGGGAAAATCGGTTTTTTTTCTATCTTGCATGATCTTAGTCGATCCTTACAGCAAACTGCTCTTAATTACTGGTCCCGAGGGACGACAAAACCAACAGTCTTCCCAAGGAGCAATTATTAAGTGTTTTGTTATATATCTAGAGTTTAGTGTAAAGTAATAAGGCAAGGAGAAGTCAAGGTAACCTCTGGTTAGTGGCAGAGCGGGCAGCAATCGCTTGATTATTGCCCACCGGGTGACATTTAGATTTAGCCATTGCCACGTGACCATGAATCAACCAATAAGAGGAAGCGTAAATTCAACTAACCTCAAGCCATATTACAATTTGGATTAATTTATAATGTCACTTGACGGAGAAGATTACATGGAGAAGATTGTTTCATTGGGAACTAAACCACTCTTAGATTCCATACGTCACTTCATCCAGGTTCTCAGTGGCGTATTTTCTGAATGCCACTCTTTCACTCAATGAAGGCACGATTCCCGCCTTTTTCAGTTGTGTTGAATGAACTCGGTTTTTTGCGTCGGTTAATGGGTGGCTAACAATACCCGTATCCATAAAACTCGACTATTTGGAAACACAATAAAATAGGCAATATCAGATATTTTGTCTCCATATAATAATGAAAACACTACACGTTAGCTAAAGATATCAATTTCATGTTCTCGTAGAAATGCATTTCAGTTCTTGCTATTCGAACACAAAATTCATATCTTCTCGCCGCGGAGTATCCACCCTTATTTTGCACGGCTATACTATTAAGAGATTTGTCTTGTTGAAAGCTTTCATTTCCCGGTTACTTGATTAAGTAATCGCTTTTTTTCGTAACTGATTTTTCTTTTTTGGTGCACACCGGAATCGCACATTCGCCGAATTTAGAAATTTAGAATGCTCTGTATTGTTACTATTTTCACTTGTGACGAGCAGCTTTCTTTTTATTTCCGTTCTCCCCAGTTCATGGCGGTTACTCACAGTGGTCGTACTGGACCCAGTGTACCAAGTCATGTGGATCAGGAACTCAGCGTCGCTCTCGCTCATGTACCAATCCCCCACCAGCAAACGGTGGACGAGTTTGTAGTGGACTAGGGCAAGCTACAGAATCGAGAAGATGTAACACACAAGGTTGCCCAGGTGAAATATTTTTTGACAAATGTAATTTTATGGGGCTCTCAAACCTTCAATTCTCTATTTTCCAGTTCCCCATAATTCTCTCTGTTTGCCGTCCAAATTTTGCATAAGCTATTGTTGTGAAATGCTCTTGGGAGGTCTACATATTCCCAAGAGCATTTCACANTTTTTTTTTTTCCGAGGGGGAGGGTAAAAAGAGTGGATTATGGGCAATTGAAATTTACAGAATACAACTGCCTTTATAAATAATGGTTATAGGACTGAGTGGAGTCCAATCCGCTCTGTAATCATACACGTGATGATCAAAATCGGACGACCACGAAACGAAAGTCCGATTTGTTTAATCTCGAGTATGATTACAGACTGAATCAAAGGGTTTATTAAAAAAAAAAAAATAGCCAAACGTGTAATTACAATTTCTGAAATATATATGGACAATACATTGAAAAATGGCCGTTAAGTTTCTTTGAAGACATCCACCTGGGATAAACCACGACTATTTTACAAAATCACTCATTGAATTGGTTACTATAGCGAGTGTAATCAATGAAGTAATTGCATGGTGGATTTAGCTGAGAGGACTTAGAATGATTGGCTTGTGTAACTATCCATGACAAGCATCCGATTACAGCTGACTGGCTGATTACGCGATTGGTTCTCAGGAAGGAGTGTGAATTACAAGGACAGAATATAGCAGGCCAAAACTCCGAGTAATCACATGCGTAGAGCAGTGCGTAGTGTTAAAACGAACTCGATAAGAACTTCTAACTACGATGTAAAGAGCAGTCATAACCCAGAGTGGTAGTTAAAAGGCTTGTCGGAAGTCATTTGGACAAAATCTCTTTGACGGAATAACGTCACGAAAATCGTGGATTGGCTGCTGAGTACTGTTAAAAATTTTGGGCTTCTTTAAGGACGAATTTCATAAGGAAAACCTGAAACCCTGGTGAGTGGCTTGACTAAGTACGAGATTTTTATTAGCGTTGACAAAAACGTATACGTTTTTTGGACTGATCTCCTTTAAGAAGTTCACAAATGTTCTGTATCGTTATTATTTTTACTTGTGACGAGTAGCTCTATTTTTATTTCGGTTCTCCCCAGTTCATGGCGGTTACTCGCAGTGGTCTTACTGGACTCGGTGTACCAAGTCATGTGGATCGGGCACTCAAAGTCGCTCTCGTTCATGCACCAATCCCCCACCAGCAAACGGTGGACGAGACTGTAGCGGACTGGGACAAGCTACAGAACTGCAAAGATGTAACACACAAAGTTGCGCAGGTGAAGTTTCTAACCAATTTTATTGGACTATCAAACTGCCTCCAATAAGTGGAAAATTTTCCCACGATACACTATTCCCAAAATGGGACAATATGAAGGGAGGTACATTAGCCCTAGCTAGTTTTTATGAATGCGTGTCCTCCAACGAGGTAACATAGGGAATTTAGAAAATGTTGGTTTTTCAGAAAAGAGGAATACCGAATACCGGGAGAAAAAAACAAAGCGACAACCAACAACAAACTTAAATATCAAGGCCAGAATCGAACCCAGGTTGAACATTTATGGGTGACGAGCGCTCTCACCCCTGTCAAACCCTGTACGCAAATTAAAAGCAAAGCCTGTTACGTCTCTAGTGGGATTCATCTCTTTACATATGGATAGTCCTATGACCATACTAACAACTGAGGTGACCTCCGCTATAAGCCTGGTGGTTTAAAGATTTACTATGTGGCAGGAGCCCATCCCTAGGAGCGTGCCACTCCCATACTAAGCATTTTTACAGACCGGTCTATTTTTAGGCTTCTTTCCCCGCGAAATAGGTCAGTTCCTGTTTACATGAGCGCGCATCGGTAAGGAAGAAAATGGCTTACCTCACCTCAGGAGCCCATCACTTCGTGCTTGTGATTGGTCACTAACGTTCCTGCGGAGATCTAAATTCGCGGTAAACTGAAACTAAAAATAGATCGGTCTGTGAAAACCCCGTGACAGGTTTATAGGGTAGTTGCACGCTTCTTGCGATGGGCTCCTGGGTGCGGCAAATAATATATAGATTTAGCCAAGCCTAAAAGCGGAGTTCCTGGGCCAGGCTTTTCAAAGACCTATTAAACTTAGACTTGCCACAAGTCGACCTTTTCTTAATCCTTGACTTATTTATCTCCTTCGAGGGAAGCGAGAGGGTACTCTCGGAGCGACGAAGTCGCGAGGGCGAGCGAGAGCTATGTAAGTCGCGAGACGTCGACTTGTTTCACTTGCAGGGATGTGAATTAGAGCGTAAAATTTTGCCGTGAAAAACATGATTAAAATTTCTCACTTTCCATGTGCTTCGCGCACAATCGTCGCGAAAGCAGAAAATGATTGACTCAAATGAATTTATTTGTGTACAGTGCAGTATGTAGTCAGCAACATTGACAAACGGCAAAAGCTGTTTCATCGAATAACGCCTCCTGAAAAGACAAAACCGTGTTTAAACCGATCGAGAGTTATTTTAATCTAGATCAACCAGCGATCGACCAGAGAGCTGCCTGACAAATGCTATAAACTTATGTAGATCTAGCTTGTACCGTCGAGGATCCGAATTAACTCAAGAAGGGGGAACTAGTCGGGGATCGGAGAACTTTAATCCTGTAAAGCTCTCTTGATTAAATAACGTTGAGAATCGAAGTCGCAACGAACGGCAGAGAATAAAAGGGCTGTTCCCAAAAGTCCTTCATCGATCGATGACTGCTTTCAAGAAGGTAAAAAGTCCACGGCAAATTTACTGCAATGCCCATTCTTTGTAGAGAAGAAATTCGGTCATTCATTAAATCAACTAAAAGTGCAACAATTACACAAATTGCAGGAACGGCTATGTTCATCTTCCTGAAGGCCCAAACTTAATTCTCTCAAGCTATCCGGATCACGTAGGATCTCAGATCGCGTCCGTAAGTAAACAAACACGAATTGGTCGGATAAATAGCCCAGTCCCTCTTTCAAAGACTTGAAATTAAGTCGGATAGACCATATTCAAGTAAATTCATATCCTTAAGTAAATTCATATCCTTAAGTATATCCGAGAACTTGAACTCAGCAGACATTTGTTGTGCGAGTTGTGTCGTTGATGGCGCGTGACGTCAAGACATATAGTCAGTACTTGTTTTTTCATTGATTAATGAGTATTTACGTCACCCGGTGGAAAAATCCACCGGTAAATTTGGCGCGCTGCAAGAGGGAAAAGTCCTTTCCAAAGGCGAAACCAACAGGCCAGTTAAGAATTATTGAAAAGGACTTTTAGAAAGTCTATATTAAGCTAACTCAAGATAAGCGAGAATTTTCCTTTGAGTTTTGTAACTTTGCGGCGAGGTTTTCTGTATATTGTTTGGCCTTCTGCTTTGAGTTTGAACAATCTCAAAACACACGAAACAAAAGCAGTGAAAAACATTTGTCTACAAGAAAAATTTATACTTCGGTTAATTTTTAATCATTAGTTAGCATTAACCGGCTTCCTAACAACCCAGCCCTGTTTACAACAAGTTAGCCTGACATGAGCCAGCGGTCCAATCGAAAACCAGAATTTGGTAAGCAGTCAACTTCAAAAAAAAGACGAGCCCCGACGAGTTCTAAGCTTGAGTCCGCGGTATGGTACATACATTTTTTATTTGCTCGTCCCCACGGGGCTTTTCAGAGTCAATTTTACATTTCAAAATTAAAAACTAAGTACATGACTAAGTAAAAACTAAGTACATGACAATGATAATATGGTCACGTGATACTGGTCAGCAGATACCTTGTCTTGGCAGGTGTCAATTGACGATAACATGGATGTCGAATATCAAAGAAGAATGTTATAAACCAAGATGTGTACAAGGCTGAATGTCTCTTTCAACCAATTAGCTAGAGCATGGCCGCCATCTTAGGCAACTTCGCCGTCGCCGCCGTTGTGCGCACGCGCCCATGAGCAATACTGCTAGCCATGATCATGAGAAAATCAATTCGTGGGTTTCCTTTTCTTTCCTATATGAATATGGGGCTCCGCTTGGCGGCCCTTGGGGCCGCCGGAGTTCCGCTAAAAAATGATGATGATGATGATGAAGATGATGATCTACTTGTATGTGTATTACCAGGGGAAACAGGTCTTACGCACTGCATCCCGCTTTTTACATGTATTGACTCTAGGGGGGAGCCTACCGGTTGTTTTTCACATTCGTTAGTCAAAGCTAAAGCAAACGGAGCCCCGTACGAATTTCGGGACTTTCCAAACCAAAAACTCCTAATGCTATGTGTGCATACAGATTAATCTTCTATGATTTAAAATATTGCTAACTATTAAAGGAAAGTAAACTAAATTAAAGCGTGTTTTACATGAATGCCGTGTCGGAGTTGATTAAAGCTGCTAAAGAATTATTTTACAATAATAAGTTTATCGAAACCAATGGCGACCCGCGTAAAACGTGGCATATCATCAACGATCTTATATCTCGTAACGCCGTCAATTCATCGATTAGAGAAATAAATCTAAATGGTACTTCTATATCTGAATCATCCGATTTGTCGAATGCTTTCATGATCATTTCTCATCTAAACTTGCTAACGACATCCCTTTATCTAATAACAATGACCACTGTTATTGGGAATATGTCAAAGGAATTAACAATAGATTCGAATTCTGCCCTACTGATAGTGGACAGGTTTTAACGCATCTGAATAAATTAAATAAGTCTAAGGGAGCTGGTCTCGATAAGCTATCAAGTCGGCTTATTCGTGAATGTGCTGACCTTATTTCGCCATAATATTATATCTCAATTATTTTGTTGTTTAACTACCGGCACATTCCCTAATGACTGGAAATCGGCCAAAGTTACGCCTATATTCAAGCAGGGCGGTAGAAGTGATATGAACCATTATCGCCCAATTTCTGTGATCTCAGCAATAGCAAAAGTCTTTGAGAGAATAGTTTATAATCAGCTTTCTTCCTATTTATCCGAAAATAATATTTTGTCACAATATCAGTCTGGTTTTCNGCAAAAGTCTTTGAGAGAATAGTTTATAATCAGCTTTCTTCCTATTTATCCGAAAATAATATTTTGTCACCATATCAGTCTGGTTTTCGATCCTTTCACTCAACTGTGACCGCTTTGCTCGAAGCCACTGATAATTGGGCCTTTAACATAGATCGAGGTTATGTTAACGCTGTTGTCTTTTTAGATCTAAAAAAAGCATTTGACACAGTTAATCATCCTATTTTATTATCCAAACTATATTCATATGGAGTCAAAGGAAATGCCTACGAATTGCTTTCTTCTTACTTAGACAATCGTACGCAAAAATGTGCTGTCAATGGTGTCCTTTCTAAAAGTTGCACTTTAATTTGTGGGATTCCCCAGGGGACAATACTGGGGCCTTTGCTGTTTCTCTAAAATATTAATGACTCACCCAATTATCGTTGGATGTTGTCCTTCGTAGCATTTAAAATGAAAATGGTAAAAGCTCAGTTGAGGCCTTACACTACTGTAAAATGATATTAAAATCGTTTAAAAAAAATCAAAACGATTTTAATATCATTTTACAGTAGTGTAAGATCTCAATTGAACTTTTACCATTTTCACTTACCCAATTGTTTATCAAACTCGCAACCAAGAATGTATGCGGATGATACTCATCTAACATATGCTGACCACGACATCTGCTCCATTGAGGCTTCTTTAAATCAGGACTTGTCAGATATAAACCGTTTATATGCTCACGCAAAACCCCTTATGAAGTTATATAATCCAGGGGATTATAACTGGAATTTAACGTTATTTTGCGAAGTTCAAGGATACCTTAAAATACATAAGGTCTAAGAAAAGAGGCAGAATTATGATAACGAGAAATGAATGTCATGATTGAGAGCAGATTACAAACGACAAACTTGAAATACTCAAATTTATCTTTTCAGTTCATGGCGGCTACTCGCAGTGGGCTGGTTGGTCTCGTTGTAGTCAGTCCTGTGGTCCAGGAAATAAATACCGTCATCGTTCTTGCACAAATCCTCGGCCAGCATACGGAGGACAAGGGTGTAGCCACCTTGGACCAAGTAGAGAATCGCGGACTTGTAACATTGAGCGGTGCCCAGGTACTAGTTTCATGAAAAGTGATGAAAGCACTAATCCATGCATTGCATGAAATACTGCCATGTAAATTATCTTTGTTTTTGTTTGCAATGAGCATTTTTAAACGTCTCCTCACAGTTCATGGTCATTACTCGAAATGGTATCATTGGTCTCAGTGTAGCAGGTCACGTGATGGATCGTTCATGCATCAATCCGTGCCTACAAACGGTGGGGGAGACTGCAGCAGACCAGTACGGCGCAATGCTACTTTTGGATATGTTTTGACTCATGGACCAAAATAATCAATTATTCAATCAGCGCACGAATTTCGAGTCACATGCTGCGAGGTCTTTTTTTATCAAATTACAGGTGTTTCTAAATCACGATAAGCAATGTTACAGTATTTATAGAAAAAAAAAAAACTACATTAAAAAATGATTAAAATGATAAGAAAAGCTTTCACCCTAAGAAATGAGATAAGTGTTGTTTTATTTTACTCGCGCTTTATACGTATAGCTTAGGGCTATGAGTTCCAAACTGAACAAAAAAGCGCAGCAATTCACGCTGTATTCATGGCGTAACATAGCCTGGTATCCCTGAGCTTGTGTTCAGCGACCTCTAGAATTACGATAGTGTACCTTGAGAATTCCGGCCCTATCCCCCACTAGCGGGCAAGGAACTTAGCACCTTGAGAATTCAAATAATAAACAGAACAAAGCATGACTGAGTTGCCAAGGCCTTTGAGGCAGACTCACAAAAGCTATCTTTGTATAAATAGCTTTGTTGACGCCAAAAAAGTCCGTATCAAGATTGAATCAAAACAATATGACACCCGAGGAAGGAACAAAGCAATATGTTACAGTAGATTATAAGAACGTAGGAAATTGACATAATTTTCAGAACACTGAAAATATTGAGATAGAAAAAAGCCAAAACAAACCTTCCTAGAATAAAGCAAATAACGTTATTATATTTTAGAGTTTCAGACACTCCGGGAACTCCATGCACGCGGCAAAAGCTGGCCAGAGAAACAATATCTCATTCTTGTCACTCAGACATAAAATTCGTATCTTCTCGTCGTTGTGTTACCATCCTTTCTTTTTTTTTCCCCGGCTTTATAATTAAGGGGTTTGTCTTGTTTTAAGATATCATTTAGCGGTGATTTCATTAATTATAATCGACTTTTTTCTAATGGACTTTAGTTGAGAGTTAATTAAGAAGTTCACAAATGTTCTGTATTGTTACTATTTTTACTCGTGACGAGCAGTTCTATTTTAATTTTGGCCGGGTTCTCCCCAGTTCATGGCGGTTACTCGCAGTGGTCGTACTGGACTCGGTGTACCAAGTCATGTGGATCGGGAACTCAACGTCGCTCTCGTTCCTGCACCAGTCCCCCACCAGCAAACGGTGGACAAGACTGTAGTGGACTGGGACAAGCTACAAGATGGCAAAGATGTAACACACACAACTGCCCAGGTGAAAATTTTTCTAATCTTTTTTATTGGACTATCAAACGTTCAATGCAACTGAATACAAAAAAAAAAATTCGTGTGGTATAATTGATTGTCAGCTCTATAACCTTTAGTTTGATATAGTGGTTTAGGTATCTACTGTACCGTTGCAGTTGTGTCCTGTGTGGCAGACATGTCCTCTGACGTAATGTGATATACTGAGCCAATCATATCATGCGTTCTATCTAATAACACGCAGCATAAGACTGGTAGCTAAACTCCGTTGCAGTTCGGTCCTCGAGCAAAATTGATATTTCGAGGGGTAGCGTACGGAAGCAATATTTGACTTTGTATATCTTGACTGTGAACCAGAGTGACTCTGAACGGAAATATGCAGCGGCTATTTGCAAGAATTGTATTTACC